TCGCGCCCCCCGCTGAGGGGGCTGGGGAGGGCTGTGCCGCCTCCCCGCTGGGTCCCGGGCAGGCCGGGCTGCACTGCCGCTGCTGCGGGGGCTGGGGCCATGGAAGGCTGGGCTGTGTAGCCTCCCCGCTGGGCCTGGGCAGGCCGGGCTGTGCCGCCGCTGCTGGCGCAGGCCGGGCTGTGCCGCCTCCCTGTGTATACGCCGCCGCGGGGAATACACGGGTGTGGCGTATACATGGATTTATTTACAAAAATACAATTTCCTGTGGGTTATACGTGGGCGCGACTTATACCCATGGGCGGGGTATATGCGCGAAAATACGGTACTTCCAACAATGTGATTATACCTATGCCGTTGTTTTTGTCAACTAAACCTATAATCTCCATGAAGTTTCCATAAAGATGTGGCCTGGAATTAAATAACATTACATATTTCATTTAATTTTCAATTCAATCCTATTTCAGCCTTTCCACTATTCTTCCTAGGATAAATACCAAGCTAACTAATCTGTACTTACCCAAGTCATTTCACTTGCTCCTTCTGAATATTAGCACAATCCTAACTTACTTCTAGTCTTATGGCATTTTCCCACATTCTGGTATTTTTTAAACATCAACATCAGTAAGACAGATCTCTTTGGTCAGCTCTTTAAGGATTGTTGGCGGCACATTAGATGGACCTGCTGATTTTCTGTTACTGACAGGGGATAAGTCCTCAGTTACTAATGGACTGAAAAGTAGTTCATCATCTTGTTTCTTTTTCCAAGTACAGAACAGAAATGTATATTGAATACTTCTGTCTTTTCTGCATTATTAATAATTTTCCTATACTCTAACCAGTAATGGAGCCTATATGCAATTGCCAACATTTCTTTTTTTTCTTACTGTACTGGAATTCATAACTGTCATTAGCTCTACAAGCCATGCTTTCCACCTTCTCTTATGTCAATTACTTGTTTCCCTCTGTTTTGTGCTGCGCTTTCTTGTTGCCGTCTTCTTTCCACAACTATGCTAGTACAGACTTTTTAGTTAAAGTAGCAATCAATTAATCTATAAAATACTGACAATCACTTTCAGAACATGTTTAAAATTTTCTGCCTGTGAAACTCCTATAAAAAAGTTCTTTTTTCTGAAATAAATCCTTTGTGCCATACAATTTGATACTGCTCCCTGTAACTAAGACTGAGAAGCACAGCATACCTCGTACATTGTAACAATTTTTTAGAATATTTCTTCTGAAGTAGTAGGAAAAAAATTAGTAATGTAATAATGTTATGCCAGATGTGCCAGGTCTTTTAATTAACTCATTTCAGGAAAATGATCCTTTTGTAATTATTTGAGATTTTTGATTTCAGCCTCTGTTTTCCAAATACTCTAGTCTGGTAACTAAAACAACTTATATAAATGGACACACATGTATTTATATGCAAGTTGAAAATAACAAAAAATCAAATTTTACCTCAGAACAATTTTCAATGGTTCCCTGCCAATCTGACTGTTTCAGTTTACAAGCAGCAACATTTAAGATGCAGGTCAAAGCTGGAGTCTTCAATTTTGCTTTATCCACTTCTTCTATCACAGCTTCAGAGGCCTCCAGGTACCTGCAAAAAGCAAGTTTACAAACAATACGTATTAAGATATATGACTTATTATAACTTGCAACACTATCTTATTTCAGCCCACAGCTATCTGACCAAAAAAGTATGCAAAGAATATTTACCCACCATCTATCACAGTTTTTAAATACCTAATTTCCACATGCCCATTATGTTATGTGACACAGTGATGATTCTAACATCCATATCTTCCCCAAAAGTTGAATTGTCAGTAGAAAATAGTTTAACATTCCTGGCTCATTAACTTGAACATTTTTTTAAAAGGCACCCATCACAGTTAAGCTGCCACATACAAATATGTATATGCAACTGATGAATTTGGTCCATGCCCTGAAAGTTAAATTCTACCTTATGTTAGAATTCAGGAGATTAGCTATCTGGAGATTAGTTATCTTTATCAACTCTATGAGGGCAAGATAAAAGTGATGTTTGAAAAGGAAGATTTCAAAGAACTAGCTGTGATTTACCACCCTTCCTCTTTTTTGACAGCATCTTTTCCACCCACACATTGTTCTAAATGGCATGAGGACTTTGAGTCCTCTTCAAATATAACCTACTTATGTAGGAGAAATCATATTCTTTAGCAAAATACAACATCATATTTCCCCCCCTCCCCCACCCAGCTCAGGAAACTCTACTCCTTCCTCTTCACCAAATATTTAACAACACTTATGCTAGCTACTCAGGAGTATTTGAACTCAGATCTAAGACTGAACAGAGGAACAAAATCTGTAGAGCATGCAAAATGCAGCCATTACACTACAATCCAGCATGTCATACAAGCATTAACCCCATCTTCCCTTAACCCCTCACTGCCATTCCACTTGACATACTAATCAAATGTCCTTTCCCTCAGCTTCTAGCAAGTGGATTGGGACCCAGCTTAAAAAAAAAAAAAAAATCTGTAAATGCATCCCCACCCATGACGTATCAAAACAGCTGCAATTTTATGGGAAAATGAAGATCAAAGACAAAGTATGTCAAAAAACCTGGAGTAGTGGACTGTGAACAAAGAGTTCCAGCAAAATGAGATGGGGGCAAAAACTGGCAGGAACAGGCAGAACTAGAATAACGCAAGGAAAAAAAGAGCAGAAAGGTTTGATCACCCTGCCCCAGAACCTGGAGCAGAACCCAAGGTTTGAGATTCCACATTCTTCCACTGTCAGCAAATATCTTTGAAACCCACAGAAAAATTGTGGGTCCCATCTTTCAAAGGTTAGATCACAATCTAGTAACTCTCAGTTAACTCTGTTTCAAGCAGCAGTGATCCCTATGGCAGATAGGAAGGTTCCAGCTCTGCAGATGAGCACACAATGATTAGTTCAGCTCCACAGAATAGAATTCTTGATTTCTTTAAAAACCTAGGAAACGTTGCAAATGCTCACACGTGTTAACTTAAACGCTCAAAAACTAGAAAATGCTGTGCATCCTAAATTTTAGCATTTTCTAGACTTTGACTACTTCACTTTCTGACTTCGCATTTTTAGTAAGGGTTGTGCATAATTGCATACAATACCATAAATGTGCATGACATTTAAAATATGAATTATCTGCTCACAACTCCAAGGGTTTTTCATCTGTATCAGGCATAATATATAAGGTAAGAAACAAAAGGCAGAAAAGAGAAAAGGAACAGCAGAAGAAAGCAGTGAACGACTGGGTTTATCCAGTACAAATTGTATCAAACCCTTTTTTTCCACAAAGCAACATGGCTGGTGGGTAAGGGGCAGGAAGCAAAGTGTGAAATATCTTTAGTAAGGTTTCTGACTCATACATGACATTTTTATAAATGAAGGGAAGTGTATGACCTAGATCAAATCACCGTAAACTGAGGGACACAACTGATCAAAGAATGGTACTCAGAGTATTTATCAACTGTCTGCTGTTAAACTAGGAGATAAAGTATGGTCTGTAAGGGCCTGTCCTGTGTCCAGTTCTATTCAATACTTTCATTAACAGCTTTTATGATAGAATAGAGAGTACATTTATAAAATTTACAGATGACACCAAGCTGGGAGTGGTTGCAAGAGCTCTGGTGGACAGGATCAGAATTCCCAACGATCTTGACAAGTTGGAGAAATGGTCTGAAATCAATAAGATGAAATTGAATAAAGACAGGCACAAAGTAGTACACCACTTAGGACGGAAAAAATCAAATGCACAAATACATAATGCGGGGTAATTTAATAGGCAGCTGCATGATAGAAAAGGATCCCTAAGAGGGAAGGGTTATAGTGGATCACAAACAGAATGAGACAATTTGTGGTGTTGAAAAAAGGCAAATCTCATTCTGGGGTGCAATAAAAGGAGCATCATATGTAAGACATAGGAAGTAATTATTGGTCTCTTCCAAGATTTGGTGAGGCCTCAACTGGAGTACTGTATCTAACACTGGGCACCAAACTTTAAGATGCAAACAAACAGAAGCAAATCTAGAGGAGAGCAACAGAAACAATGGGTTTGGAAAATGGCCTTGCTGTGGTCCCCCTACTTTATCCGTAGTAGGTTAGGTTATGTCTTGGGTTATGTGTCAGGGTTGACCGTATAGTTTTGCTAAAAGGTTACACAATGGATTTATATAAGGTAGTTTGGATAGAATGATCCTGCCTTGGGCAGGGGGTTGGACTAGATAACCTCTTGAGGTCTCTTCCAGCCCTACTTCTCTATGGTTCTCTGAAAGGTTGAATGTGTTCAGTCTAAAGAAAGGAAGCTTGTCCCACTTTTAACTTGGTATAAGTTATCCAATGTTAAAACCTGATTTAGATGGTGATCAAGCTTGTTTTCCAGGTCCAGCAGAGAAAGCACCAGAAGTAATTGGCTTTTTTTGCAGCCTGAGAGATGAAGTTAGATGTTAGGATTTTTTTTTAATGGTAAAGGAGAGCTAAGTACTGGAATAAGCTACCAAGACAGGTTCTAAATCCCCTTTGTTGGGAGTTTGTTTTCTAAATTTTTCTTAAGTGTCAGGGATGGTGGACAGATACTTGATTGTGCCGTAGTATGAACTACATGACTCCTGATAGTCCATTTTAGCTCTTCATTTCTCTGATTTCTATGTTTGGTATTGTAAATAGAGTGCAGTTCTCCAAGGTAGAAATTTGTTATGCTTTGAAAAGACTATCTGCTGGAAATCTAATCAACTTCAAAACACAAGAGATTTTTTTTTTAGGCATTGTGTGTGCCTGAGTTTCTTTGCAACTTTGATTCACAACTGCATTTTCCCATTGAAAGGACACTTTCATGTTACTATATTAAGTACTCCTAAAAAAAGACTTTTCTTAAAAGAGAATATCTTGAAAGTTTGATGTGGGCTATCAAAAAAAGAGATTTTTGCTTTGTATGTTTCTCCTCCTCTTTGGTTATTAATTTTAGTTCTTTAATAGGTTAAAAGACAGATGCAGGCAAATTGGTGCTGCCACTGGTGCTCTTGAGTTACAATATTCATAGTTTTATGAAGCAGTGATGATTAAGGAGGCAGGTATACACTGCAGTATTGGAATGACGCTGAAAACAACTCCAGAGGAAACAAGTGAGAGATCCAGATGGTCTCTGATCCTGTGTCAAACAACACAGGAAAGCATAAAAAGTGACAAATTGTTTGTGAGGCACAGCCAGAAAAACTCTTAACTTAAAGGTAAAAGACATGGAAGATGGAGCAGGAGATTATGTAATCAAGAGCAGAAATCTAGTCAGGGTTGACAGTGACAACAACACTGGAATCTGCAGAAAGACCAAAGTGCAGGCTCTGAGGGAAGAGGAATGACTGTTGAAGCAACAGGTAAATACCTAATTATGTTTTTAAGTATAAATGAATTCAGGGACAGCATTAAGCAATTAATTCAGTTGACAACTTTTTTTTTACATTTATCTTTGTGTTCCAGAATTCACCCCAAGTGTGCATGATGACCTTTCTGTAAAACAAAGTACTCATTTCTAAATGACTAAAAAAAATCATTTTCCAATATATCAAGGGCCACAAACCCTATTAACTGAAATTATTTTGAAATAAAAGTGCGCTAATACTTCCTGAAAATGTTAACAATGATCAAAGACATTAGCTGGCTTACAATAATGAAGTCCTTACCTTAAACCTTTGTGATACTTTTTAGCTGCCATTGCCCAATTCTGAGATTTGAAGCAAGTGTTTCCTATGTTCTTTATGTCTTCTGCTATTGACACAATCTTGTCCACCTATAAAATGTAAGTAGCAACTTATATTAGTTATACTAATTTAGAAGTTGTCTCTAAATAATGGTGGAATCCCAGATGCTCTGTTATACAAAAGTGACTGAAATCCCAAGTTTAAAGGAAAAACAATATCCAGTAGAATATTAGAGATCTAGATTGGGATACTGTAGTTAACGCTCTATGCTTGTTCTATGGTATGAAACTCCCACTGGAGTTGAACATAAGGATCAACAGTAACTAACCATTAGAGCACAAAACATAACTACAGTAAAGACGCAACCAGTAACTTATCTGTTTATCCTAAAGACAGTTGTTCAACACGTTCCAATGACAAGGCAAAATCCCTTACTCAAAAAGAATGAACAAAGAGAAATGTGGCTATATCCTATATCTACAAAAAAACTCAAAGAGATGTATTAGCAAAGAAGGTATATCACTAAGACCACCTCTTCCCTAGAGTACTTTGCCTTTTTTTCCCCAAATAATGGTGCAAATATTTGAGCTTCACAAGTGCTCTAACAATGACCATACAATACTTTTCCCTCAAATCTTTTCTGCGTCCATAGGTGAAAAAGATAGCCAATTGTCTAGCACAATGTCAGTCCAAATTTTTGCCTTTTGTTTTACAAATGTAACAAACTTTCGTTATCTGGATCATGATTATCTATATAAGCTACTTAAGGAACCAGTATCTTTCAGCCCCACTATCAGCTTTGTAACTTAACTGTAAAACAGAAAAAGACTGTAACTTTGCCCATCTGCAAAATTAAGGACTAGTTATGGAGGGGACAGCATTATTCTGGGCAGAATATACTCCATGCAACAGATACCGCCATTTCACTTGTAGCTGGGCTGTTGTTACCCTGCCTGCAGCAGGCAAGCCTACACATTGCTTTGTCTCATAGGACACTTTCACACATGCTCCATTGGGAGGGGGTGCCGCTCTTTAATTAGAGTGGCTCCGAGAGCAGCTCTAATTAAGACACTGCAGCGCTTTCTGCATCAGCATCCCTATGCTTCAAAATGGAGGAGGGGGCGCTTGAACTAATGCTCATTTGACAAGCTTTAGTTCAAGTGCCCCTGCCACCATTCTGAAGCGCAGACTCTTATATTTGAAGTGCAGGAGGCTACTGCAGCATGGTAATTGCCACACTCAAGGAGACTCGATTAATCAAGTCTGCTCTGACATGCGTACTGGAGCAGCCTCCGTGCTTGTGTACAGGCACCCATAGTGAATAAAATGTGTTGCAATTTCCTATCTGGAAGGAACGTAAGAATCTGCAAACTACTACCAAAAGTCCGCTATTAAATATTTATGCTTTATAGTTCTGGAAACGTGTCACTCAGGCAATAAAAACAGTCTTGAATAACAAAGAAAAGAAGCCTAGAAAATAAATTTCTGTGAAAGATTTTATTTTTAGCTTTATGGTCACTGGAAAATATCAGGTCACGGCTAGCACTACAGGAATGTCACTGAATCTACAGTATTAAATTGTAAGATCTGACAATCTAAAGCAGTGTCTGTAAGTCACTAGATTTAAGTTGTCCTGACAGAGTCTTTAGAAATATAACAACATACACCTTATGGTCCAGCATACTAGGAAGTTGTTTCTTAAGTAACAACCTTCAAAAGAGAAATACATACCTCTCTGAAGTCTGTTTCTGAATCCTCAGGAAAGTCTGGATGGATATCTCCAGAACCATCCACTGGTAAAATTCCACAGTTGTCACCTTCCTTCAGCTCTCCACATTCTGCAATAATGCACAACTGTAAAAAATAAAAAGCCACAAGACATGTCTATCATGCAGTATTGTCATTCACTACTCCAAAAAGACAGAGATACTATGTACTGTTAAAAGATCAGTGAAAACATCCTCTATATCCCTAACCAACACATTCCAGATGTTTTTTAATCTCCCCTAACTATGAAACCCACTGGCTGGATAGGCAGATTGGATCAACAGTGGTATCCAACTCATCTGGCCCCATGGGCTCCACCTGGAGTGAGGTTCCAGTCTGTGGGTCAGAACTAGAGCAAGAAGCCACATATTCTGGCCCACAGGGCTGGAATTGGGCAGTGGCAGCACTAACTTCTGCAGCTCTCAAAGCCACAGCAGCTACCACTCCTCCCACCACCAAACTTCAGTCAAATAATGCAGCTCCATGCTCTCTTATGTTTCAGATCTGGCCCATAGGGCTCCCCTCAGATTTGGAAATTTGGCAGCAGAATGGGTGGTAAAAGCATTACTGTGGCTCCAAGAGCTGTCAAATTTCTGGATCAGTGGGGGAATCCCAGAAGTCAAATGACATGACTCCATGGGCTGAGTCTTGGTTACTTGGGAACACAATTAAATACAACCCCAATCTTTCACGTGCAGGAGAGCAGGGGTTGGTTCTGAGTTCATATCAAGATACTTGTAATGAGCCTAATGGGGTAAGAGTTATTTTTCCTAGTGTCTTCAAATTAGAAATTTTATTTAAAAAAAAACCACACAGAAAAATCTTACTACACCACTTATGCCCTTACAGCATACTGACCTATTTGGACTAAAGAGAAAAAGAAAAAGGTTTACTATCTAAATAATACGCAATTTTAATAGAGAAAGAGATAGATAGGAAAACTAAGCAAAGAAAAGTGTGTGAAAGGGCTCTGGGGAAAGAAATTGAGCTGCAGCAATGGAAAGAAATATAGGAATGGGATTATTCATCTTCCATGTGTTTAGACAAAAAAAATTAAATACTCCACAGATAGTACCAACTAGATCCAACTAGGATCCAAACACATTTTCTAATGGTGATGTTTTATGTATTTTTACAAAGGAAATAATATACAGTAACTTCAGCCTCATGGAATTCTTGTGTATTCTTCCTGTGTTGGAATTTCGCTTCTCCAGTTGCCTGAGTAAAGTTTACAAGTACAAGCCCCATAAATAAGGAACTGCCTCACAAGTACAACAAATTCACAGGAATTCTAACACTTCTGACATAGAGTATACCTGCTTTCTCTTGTCACCACCAAGCCAGAACAGGAGGTGGCAGTCACCATCCTTAAGTAAACATAAGGAAGAATGTGCACCTCAGTACACAGAGACAGAGGGTTCTTTTCTCATTCAAATGAACTTCCAATTTGTGTAGTAACTTATCTCAAATCACTCCTAAGCCATTAGGAACAGATATGAAATATACACAATAAATGCATCAGTAAAATATAACCATCTCTAATGTGAAATTCAGTAAGCACCCAGGACTAACTGCTGTTTGCTCCATCTTTTTAGATCCTTAGAGGATGCACCCACCACGAGTTAGCAGGTGGAAATCCTGTCTTTTTTTATCACAGTTCTAACTTTTTCTGCAGCTTTTGATAAGTCACATGCCAGGTGCTCCATACCAATCAACGCTGTGCTTGTTCTAAACTGGTTGTAAGTGAAAACTAAAATTGGGACAATTAAGCCTTAAGTAAAACATAGCTAAGCTACCTTAGGTTTAGCTTCCACTTACCACAAGCTAAAAACACACAGACAGTGGGAGTGTCTACATGTGCATTAATGCACTTTGTTACTGCACATTAAATGTAGTGCCTCTAATGTGAAGTACTACATAAATACGCACTAGGTTGCCCTAATGCACAGTAGCAAAAGCAAACCCTGCTTTTTTAGTGACACTTATTGCGCAGTAGCCTATTCTACCTCACATTATCATATTAGCAGTTTTTTATGCACTGCTTTAATGTGCAGTAGAATAGGCTACTGCACATTAAAGTGCACATGTAGACGTGCCCAGTTACTGTAAAATAACTAATGTGCTGCAAGTCTGCCCTTCCATTAATTCATTGTAATTTGTTCATTTTCCATATGCTTGTTTTATCATACCTTAGAAGTGTGGAGATATTAATTTCTCCTTCCTTTTGAAAGGTGGTATGAAAATTGATTAGTAATTAGTCAACATGTATAAAATTTTTCCAGGTATAAGATATTACAAACACTTAACTGCAAGGTCTTTAATACTTTCTACCATCTTAACATTTTATTTAAGATTAGTAAATGGCATCAACACAGGATCACTAGTCTTTGATTATTAGCCTGGATTAAAAAAAAAACAAAAACGTTCATTTTTACAATAGAAGACAATGAAAGCTAATCTTAAAATGTTGAAATGTTCTGAGACACAGAAGTTGTTAAAAGCTATGTATTTCTAGTTTTCATTTAGCAGAAGCAAAAAATAATTTCAGTCCTACTGAAAAACATTACTAAAGCTATTCTGCAGTTCTCTCATAGGACTCCAGGTAATAGAAAAAGTATTCACTCAAAATATTCTGGTTCTACCTACCTTAGCAGGATTTTCTCCATTCACTTCAACATTTTCTAGTAGTTTAACAACACCCATTCCTTTGATCACTTGGCCGAACACCACATGCTTCCCATCCAGGTGAGGAGTTGGCACTGTTGTGATGAAGAATTGGGAGCCATTTGTATTGGGTCCTGCATTTGCCATGCTCAGCAGCCCTGCCTTATCATGCTGTACAAGAGAAAACACCATCACTAATCTAAGTCAGGTCTGATTATTTTACAAGAGTATTTATTACATGATTCAGAGGTAGTAGGCTATCCTGAGTGATGTCTACAATTATAACAACTCCAAGAAGCTTGAGGGCTACACAATTTGCATTTGGCTTCACCTTTCCTGACATCAGTCATCCAACAGCATTTTTTTTTTACTATTTTTCCTTAAGTTACTGGCCAGCAATTGTAGCAGATACTGACAGGAAGTATTGTATCAGCTGTTTGATTATGATCAATTTAATTGACCAAAAGAAAAAACAGAGAAGTCAGTTAAGATGTTCTGGATGGGATGCTCTTCAACTGGACTGCCAGAAATTAGAAGCAGCTAGCTCTCTCTCTCTCTCTCTCTCTCTCTCTCTCACACACACACACACACACACACACACACACACACACACACACACACACACACACACACACCCCCCTCCCCACAGTACCAGATTCAACAGTAATGCAATTAAGAGGAAATTATGTGGACATTTACACTTTAAACTTGCAAATAATTATACATGAGCAAATCTTACACATCAAAAGTGTGAGACCTCATGAGTCGGACCACTCATGTAAACCACTTAACATATAGGTACAGGTGTTCATAGGACTAGGAGCTACATTTAAAACTTTTCCCCATCTTCTCCCCTATACCTCTTCCCTCAGGAAGGCATCCTTTATTTTACGTAAAGGCATAAAGCAGAAACAGTTGGTTAAACATTCCAATAATACAAAGGTATTATACATCTTACTCCTGTGAAATATATTTTGCCTCTCTGTAATTCAACACAAAGAATCTTTTCCTCACTATTCAGATTATTCCTCTGTAGTATTTTGTTCTGTCCATAGCAGAAATGCTGTACGTATATTAGAAATTCAGATTGTAGAACAGGTGTTACCCAAATCTTACAGAAAAGAATATACTTACAATAGATTTGGTTCTTTGAGTGAGTACATCAGTGTAGAACCCAATGCAAGTACATCTGTACCTCATGTACAAACCTAGTTTTATTTTTAAGTATCCATCAGAGATGCATACATATACATCGTTGCACTCCTATGCAAGGATAAAAAGGGCAAAAGTAACCATACTCCTTCACAACTCAAAGCCTGTGATAGCTGAGGATTCCAGAAAGCCAGGATACAATCCACACCAACATCATCTCAAAGAACTAGAGTTTACCTTAGTGTTCTTCTTTGGATACTATATTGTCCAGTGTAGGTAACTGTCAAGCTGTACACTCTCATGACACTGTAAGAGGAAATTCAGTTGCACAGGAAGAGCAAATGTAGCACTGCTTTCCTAACCTTGTCTTCTCATATAGTAGCTAAATTGAAAGACAAAAGTCACTTTATACACTGCTGCCTTACAGATTTCTGAGGCTGGCACATGCCTGAAGCAGGCATAAAATGTTTTGAGCTCTGACAGAGTAAGCCTTATTATTCTGTGTAAGGTACATCAGCCAACTGATAACAAAAACACAAGGTGCATCTACACAAGATGCTAAATGCACTGATTAATTCTATTGCTCATTAGCACAGCAGGCAAAAACTGTGCTCATGTGCTAATGCACAGCAGAATTAGTCTACTGTGCATCAGTGTCACAAAAAAAGAGCATGCACGGCGCTACTGCGCAGTAGCACCAATTACGGAGCATTAAATTAGTACCTGTTATTATAGTCAACTGTACTACACAAACAGGTGTAATACCAGGTATTAACTTAATGCTCCATAATTATGGTGCATTAATGAACATGTAGACACACCCACAGTGCAACTCATCTCCATATCAGATGACCAGAATGTACAGTCACAGCCTGAGTGATAGGGTGCAGCAACTTTGGGTCTGGAGAGAGGATATGGCCAGAGTGCTGCAAAATCATATCCAGGAAGGAGTTGTAGGATTTAGATTAACAACTAGAAGCCAGAAATGCCTTGGGCCAAGAGAGAGACCAGAACGTCTCTTGGAAATCACTGCTGGAATTAAAACAATTGGCAGAAAGGGGTAGAGCAGGCCTCTGTGCTCCACTTGAGAAATGGCATCTGGTAGCAACTGTGAGCACAGGTCTCCTCTGAAACAAAACTGATTTATCACTTTTCAGTGATTCCCCACTGATGGATTATCTCTTTGTGATGCATCTGTACAAGGACTGTTCAGGGTTGTTCACCAATTAACTATTTGGGTCCTGGGAGCGGGAGGACCCTGCTCCCAGGAGAGTTACTCTACTTTGATGCCAATAATTCCAGAAATCAGTAGGCAGAGAGGAACAAAGTGTGGGCCCCCCTGTTTGTTTCTATAGTGTACAGCTGACTATTTTCTCCAAAGTTTGGCATTACCAATCTTTGGAAAGTAATCTGATAGTTCTGAGCTCTAGGACTCGTATGCATTCCCTGTCATGTGGGAACCAGATTCCTAGCCCAAGTGAGCTCTGAAACCTGACCCTGACACATCCATGATTGATGCCTTTATAGAGAGGGCATTGAAACAGGGACCACTGTTTACAGGTTCCTGCTACAAGGCCATGTTTACACTAATATGATATGGGATTAAAACCTTCGTGTTTATTAGGTGTTAGGCTACCAAACAGAATAATCCAAGATGGATACAAACCCGTCACTGCTGAAATCTAGCCAGCAATATGCAGCCACCATGATGGGATATGATATGGGTAGGGGCTTCCTACAGGAAGTGGGTGTAATAACCATTAATTTCAAAGTGGCTTGAGTCTAAATGAATGGATTGCCTAATCTGTGCTTGTACTAAAGAGCTTTATTTTCTCAAGTGGAAAGTTCTGGATGGTCTCATGGGTGTCTTTTGGAATCCAGGAGGTGATAGCTACAAGTCACAGCCTGGACCACTGACTTTGTGGACAGGTATTTTTCATAGATTCATAGAATGTAGGCTGGAAAGGACCTCATAAGATCATCAGGTCCAGCCCCCCTGCACCAAGCAGGAAGGACTCCTGGGGCCAAATGACCCCAGCAAGATGACTATCCAGTCTCCTCTTAAAGATTTCCAGGGTAGGCAATTGCACCACCTCTGAAGGGAGCTTATTCCAGTTTGGACACCCTAGCTGTGAAGAAGTTTTTCCTAATGTTGAACCTGAAACAGTCTTCCAGGAGTTTGTGACCACTGCTCCAGGGTTTCCCCAAGGGTACCCTAAACAGTTGTTCAGTGAGCCCTTGATGTATTCCCCTGATACAGTGGTAAACTGCTACCAAGCCCCTTCTCAGCCTTCTCTTCTTCAGGCTGAAGAGTCCCAGGTCCCTCAGCCTTACCTCGTATGGCTTGCCGTGCAAGTCTGATCACGTGTGTGGCCCTTCTCTGAACTCTCTCGAGCTTTTCCACGTCCTTGCTGAAGTGCAGCGCCCAGAACTGGACACAGTACTCCAGCTGTGATCTCCCCAATGCCAAGTAGAGTGGAAGAATCACTTCCTTGGTTTTGCTAGAGATGCATTGATTGATGCACACCAGAGTATTATTTGCCCTGCTGACTATAGCATCGCACTGCTGGCTCTCATTCATACTGTATTCATACTGTACTCTAGGCCTATAGCTTATATCAGGCTTGCAAGGACACCACTCATAATCAATACCATGGCTGGCACTGGAGTCTCTGTCAGATTTATTTTGATCTTGGTTTACTTACTGGTGAAAGACTTTCTCTGGCTCTGGGGGAGTCCTGTATCATTTTATCTTTCTGAAATATTGTCTCCCTGCATTTGGAGTCATTTCTGGACTCTGCTCAGCTCCTATCAGCCTTGCTTTTGCACTGGAATGCTAATACTGGTTTTGTTGATATCAGTGCTATGGGTGCTAGGGTCAAGTTATTCAAGCCCAGTGTCCTCGTTAGTGTAATGGCCAGTGCCAATTAACCCAGGACCAAGGTAGTAAGCATTACTTTTGATATAATTTTCTTTCTCGTTACTGCTCAGCCCCAGGGAACGGTACCTGCTTGAGGCGGCACTCACTGAAGATGATTAAGAGGTGCACTGATTCATCGGTCCGATATCAGATCAGTACCGATATAAAGAAAATTAGCTGTATTGGAAATCAGCCCCATGGGGCTGATAATTTGGCTGATAAATGCCTGTGTGCGTGCACAGCCGCAGCACAGTACTCAAGCAATGAGCAGCAGAGCCCGGCAGTGTGGAGAGCTGCTTCCAGCTGGTAAATCTGTTGTGGTGGAAGGGGAGGAGGGAGGGAAGGAGCATGGGGGCACAGATCAAACCCCACCCTGCAGTGAGGGAGGAGGCAGGGGCAGGTGCTTCACAGCCAGGCCTGGGGGCGTGGCTCATGGGGGGGCGGGGGGAAAGGGTTCCACTGCTGCTTACGCCCCAGGAGGGCAGGGCATGTGCCCCCTGGATCTGTGCAGGGCAAATAGGTGGGCTGCAGCTGTGGGCCGGAGCCAGGCTCTTCTCTCTGGGTGTTAGTCTCGGAGCAGGGGCTATGGAAGGGGATGCAGCCACCCCAAATTTCACCGTAGCTCCCTCCCAGTGCCACCACCGCATGCCCAGCGCAGCCCCGGCTCAACCTGCATTTCCCCACACAGGACATGGGATGGAGGTGCAGCTCATTGGGGGGGAGCGCAGCTCCCTCCCAGCACTACTGCTTCTGTGCACCCAGCGCAGCCCTGGCTCTTCTTGGCACGTGGGGGGAAGCAGGGATTGAGCTGTGAAAAGCCAGGCTGCACCGGGCACGCAGCGGCGCTGGGAGGGAGCTACGGTGAAATCTGGGGTGGCTGCAGCACCCTCTGTAGTCCCTGCCTTGAACCCAGCCCCTGGCGAGAAGAGCCCGGCTCCAGCCCGCAGCTGCAACCTGTCTGCTCACCCCACACAGATCCAGAGGGCACACGCCCCACCCTCCCGGGGTGCAAGCAGCGGCTGGAGCCCTCCCCCTCACCCCCTGACGAGCTGCACCTCCATCCTGCGCCCCACCCCAGATGGGCAGCGCCTGCCACTGCCTCTTCCCTCACCATTTGGGGGAGATTGATCTGTCCCCCTCCCCTTCTGCCATAACAGACTTACCAGCTGAAGGCAGCTCTCCATACACTATCAAAAACTGGATCGGTATCAGCCAATATGCCTCTTAAAAAATCAGATATCAGTATTGGCCCCAAAAATCTCTATTGGTGCACCCCTAAAGATGATCCTTTCTATTCTTCAGTCTTTTGTTTGAGTCCAAAGTGACATGCATCAATTGTTCAAGTAGGTACATTTTCAGCTATGCTGGTCCTCATGGGGAATATGCATTCAACCCGCTTACTGAGATGCAACCTTTCTCCCAACAGAACGGGCATTAACTATATGCCTTTTGACTAATGTAAGTCTGTTACAGATCAGGTGGTATTTAAACCAGAGTCTAAAATTCAATACAGCAGTAGGCTTTAGAGCAGGTCGCCCAGCTGTAGAGTGGCTGTCGAAAAAGATCTTTTAAAACACTAGGAATATTGAAAGTGAAGGAGATTTCTTCATCAAAAAGTTAAAAAGGAAATGAGTTTAGTTGGAAGTGGTTTTCAGACACTTGTTGAGTTTTGTCTCATTGCCACAGACTGGCATTGGGCATGGACACTATGTCCCTTATTGCCTTCGCACAGGAACAGGGGACAGCACAGGGTGTATATACAGCCCCAAAATAAACTAGTATTCAAAAATAATTATTGTACACGTGAAGAACACAAACACCCACAGACAGATCCACACTGATGTAAACTCAAAGAGCTTGTTTATAAACAAGACTTTCAGACTAGAACTATATTTAGGGGTAAAAGAATGAGTACAGTGGGTTACATGCCATTTTGTTCCTGACTTTTAAAATAGTTGTTGCCTTATTTTTTAAATTGTTTGAGTGTTACCAACAACTTTGGCTGAGGGAATGGAAATATGTTAAATAAAAGTATGCACAGATTAGTAGAAAACTTTATATTCTGAAGCAAATTTTCATATACAAATTTCTTTGTATAACAAAAAGTATTAAGATCTGTTTGATGCTAACATATGCATGAATTCAAACAAGGGATTTCTCATCTTAAATTTTCTACAAGATTAAGATCTAAAGAGAGAATCTGCCATATCACATATTTTTGTGTTTCCCATAATAACTCGATCCTTTTTCATTACAGAATTTGGCAGAAGACATTTTGAGATGGGTCAGATGAAATAGTTGACAAATCAAATAGTTAAAATAATGTGGAACAGAACATTCTAAACCAGTTTTATGGAAACAGTTTCCATTTCCAATGACTTTACCTTGTAATGAAAGTTTTCATCTTCAAATTTTTCACCATAGATGCTTTCTCCACCAGTGCCATTTTGATTTGAGAAGTCTCCGCCCTGGACCATGAATTTCTTTATAACTATAAAGTAAAAATATGAATCATAGAAAATGCAAAAAAGGAAATAAGATTATATTCAAAGATGAAGACCAGCCTCCCTTTATCAACAGGAATTTTAATTCCCTTCCCATCTGAACTAGACCCCTAACTCAACTATCATTATTATCAGCAATTCAGGCCCTATTGTGCCTTAATAAATCAAAAGCAAAATTACCCATTCAAATTTCTCACAGATGGCATTGTACAATAGCAGTGACAAACCATATGCCCTTAGACCTAACTTTTTAAAGATATTTAGGCATCTAGTTTGAGACACCTGAATACTTTCAAAATCTAGTCATTAATATCAAGAACTTCCTTCTAATAAGGAAGGATGGAATAGAAAGAAATGCAATCTCGAAGGGAACATATATGCAAAATCAAGAACAGCTATCAGTGATGTCCAAACAAAGCTGGAACCACTTCTTATCTACTCCATCTAAGCTTCATTGTTGACCTGACTTCAACATTTCAGCCAGAAGTCCACATCACCAAATTGGTCAGTATCTGCAAAGTACTTTCCTGTGTTTATAGGCTATAAAAGGAGACAATGTCAGGAGCCTTGAGTAAGTCACTGGACTTCCCTGTGCTTGTTTTACCAGCTGTAAAATGAATAAAGAAGTATCACCACTTTCAGAAGGCCCTTTAAGATGCTTTAATGACAGACAAAAAAGTAAAAAAAAGAAAATTAATAGCTCTAAAAACTTTATATCCTCAAATATAATAGAGAACATTTTTTTTTCAAAAAGCTTCAGCATTTTATTACCTCAACATGCAACAAAGCCTTCAAAGGCCACAGCTAGTATTGTTTATATTTTTACATTACTCAATGATCTTTATTTACTGTACTAAAACAATGCCCACATACAATGAAGTGGAGCCCATGGCTAGGACTGCAAAACAGACTTCACTAATAACTTAATTGCTTATTGTCTTGCGGGGAAACATCAATAAAGACCTGGAGCAAAAGAATTCCCTTGCTCGCTTAAGGTATCATTCACAGTGAAACAACTACCACCTAATCCATGTATCAGTGGGTACCTGTAGACACGCCAAGAGGCTGCTGACACACTGTAATTGAGTCAAACAAGCTTTAGTTAAAGCACCCCCACCGCCATTTTGAAGCACAGGGACACTGATACACAAGACACTGGGGGTGCTTTAATTAGAGCAGCTCTTGGAGCTGCTCTAATTAAAGTAGCATCCCCCTACACTCTCAGCATATTAGCTATTAACTCCCATTAGCTATTAACAGACCAATCTGTCAATGGAAACAGTAGCTAGAAACCTGGTACAGAAAAAAAGGATAAAATAAAATAGAGGGAACAACAATGCAGTTCTACTTTTCTTTAAGCCACAACTTCTCTTTCAAAAAACAAACAAAGAACTAATGTTTTTAGGGGAGGGAGGGGGGTTTAATAAAACAGTTCATTACACTTTATCATTTTAAAGGTATTTCTACTGTATTTTGACACATTTTTCCATTTTCTCAATCACTAATTCAAACAGATTTAAGTAATGAAAATACCAAGGAGGGTTTTTTCCAATTACATAAATTTAGTCCCTAATTTAGCATGCAGATAAGATATGTTTGCACCAGTGTAAATATAGAGTAGACATGATACACAGCTCTATAACAGCATAAGCTGTCCTTCTTCAGGGAAAAGTTCCCTCCCTGAAAGTAAGAAGCAGCCATATGCAGGTGTAAGTTACAGTAATGTCCAAGTTGTGATCCAGCTTTGATCAGCTTTATCCCAAGACAGCTATTAGCTCAATACAATAGGCTACTGCTGGTGCCCTTACCATGTAAGCATAACAGTGCCTACTGCAGGCAGTTACCTTCTGAAAATTGGTTCTTTGTTCACGAGACACCAGCACAACTTACACCATTGTAAAGAGCATCCATATCGGCAGATAATGATCACTGTTAGAAATCCATGTATCACTAACACAATACTGATATAATTTACTTTAAAATCTTGAAGTACTCCTAAATATTACGTAACTTTTAACCTAAAACATTATTTCAAGAAAGAACAATGAAATAAAGACGATTCAAACTTACTTCTGTGAAAGGGGCATCCTTTATAATGAAGAGGTTTTCCAGTAGTAAGTCCTAGTCCTTTTTCCCCTGTACACAGTGCACGGAAGTTTTCAGCAGTTTTAGGTACAATATCAGCAAATAATTCAAAGACAATTCGACCAACTGGAAAGAAAGAGATGATTTGGAATCCAATCTCCAAATAAGTTGCAGGCCCCAATCCATCAGGATAAACATTATTCCGTACCAGCTATTTTTAACTGAATAATTAGCATTATTTAAGCCAATATTAAATTAACCTACTTTAAAAATATATATATATACAATTCTTGTATATTCCTGTAACTGCTGCTGGTTAAACTACAAAATTTGTTAGCACAGATGCAACCTGTAAAGAAGATAAGCACCATAAACAATTTTAGACAATGATACATGCTGCCCCAAATAATTTTGATAATCTATGTGTATATGGTACGGGCTATTTTCTGGCCTAGATAGATAGATAGATAGGCCTTCAGCAGACTAACATAGATGCCATATCTGTCTAAAATGTATATATGTAAAAGCCTGAGTTGGAAAATGGGGTACTGTTTTAATGAAATTTGATTTAAAAATTTAAGTTTAATTGAAATGTTCAGCAAAAAATTATATCAAAGTTTACAAAACTGAAATATTTCAGACAACAGATGGGAAGGTTGGTTTTCAGCCATTTAGGTTAAATATAGATTGGAATTTCCCATAGAAAATCTTTCTTCTTGTGTAGACCCTAATGCTCCTAACACTCACCTATATTAGTATCTAATCTACATGCAGCTACATTATAATCCACTTACATACATACATACTAGAAAAGTGCATAATTTGTTAACTGGATAACAATGCCAATCCTGGGTTTCTTGTGTATTGCCCAATATGGTATCAAACCCTCATTATGTGCATGCTCATTAAATGAATATTCAGAAGATAGCATTTTCGGTCCCACTGTCAACTTTGTAACTTAGGTGTCAACATATACATTTGATGCAGTTTCAAAAGAGGATGGGGCAGTAGCTGTTACATTTTAATTGGGCAGACTGAGAATGATACAACCAAAGCAAAACTGCTCCAACTTTAACGCTGGATGAAGCAGTGTTGAAAGATGGAGCAGTTTTGCTCTGTTTGTATCATTCTCAACTTGTCCACACACAACAATTAGAAGGTAGCAGCTGCCAGCCCTTTTGAAATAGCTCCAAACATACTTGTGTTCATACCCTTAACTGTACTTTGGTTAACTGCATACTAACTGTATTTGCCTACTTCTGAGCTAATTGTGCTTCCTTTATTTGCCACTGAAACAGCCAAAGGGAAGCTGCTGTCAAAGGATTGCCCTCAGAAGCCTTGAAAATGACAGGAGCTAGGCAGTTGTGTGGCTGCTCTTTC